TTTGAACATAATTCTTACATGAATAATAGTAAAAATTCATTTTTGTCTAAGTCAATTACGAATTTTTGTTTTCTTCTTGAAGTTTTTGTTATTAGGCCACTCTGCCTCTAGCTGGCTCATGTTACGTCTTGTTGAGAACTATGTAAGGATGTTGACCTCATAATTTACAAAATACAGAATCATACGGACTTAACTTTTAAAAATCATACCAATCGTGTAGCACAGAATATGCTGCGACTTTAAAAAAAAAAAAAAAAAAAAAAAAAAAAAAAAAAAAAAAAAAAAAAAAAAAAAAAAAAAAAAAAAAAAAAAAAAAAAAAAAAAAAAAAAAAAAAAAAAAAAGAAAAAAAAAAAAAAAAAAAAAAAAAAAAAAGGGGGGGGGGGGAAAAAAAAAAAAAGGGGGGGGGGGGGGGGGGGGGGGGGAAAAAAAAAAAAAAAAAAAAAAAAAAAAAAAAAAAAAAAAAAAAACAAACCACACAAAAAAAAAAAAAAAAAAAAGGGGGGGGGGGGGGAAAAAAAAAAAAATAAAAAAAAAAAAAAAAAAAAAAAAAAAAAAAAAAAAAAAAAAAAAAAAAAAAAAAAAAAAAAAAAAAAAAAAAAAAAAAAGGGGGGGGGGGGGGGGGGGGGGGGGAACGCGAAAAAAAGGGGGGGGGGGGGGAAAAAAAAAAAAAAAATAGGGGGGGGGGGGGGGGGGGGGGGGGAAAAAAAAAAAAACCCCCCAAAAAAAAAAAAAAAAAAGGGGGGGGGGGGGGGGGAGAGAAAAGGAAAAAAAAAAAAAAAAAAGGGGGGTGGCGGGGGGACACCCGGAGAAGGGGGGGAGAAACCCCCAAAAAGGGGAAAAAAAAAAACCCAAAAAAAACTCCCCTTTAAAAGGGGGAAAAAAATTTTCGACACAAAAATATGTCTTTTTTAAGATAAATTTGGGGGAACGACTAGACGAGTCCGACGTCGTGGGTAATAGCTCAACTTTATAACCCTTAATATCAAAACCAATTTGATTGTTTTTTTTTTTTTTTTTTTTATTTTTATTTTTTTTTTTTTTTTTTTTTTAATGAGGGATTTTTTATAAAACACCTCCCCCCGGCAAAAAAAAGGGAGGAGGGGGGGGGAAGGGGGGAAAAAGGGGGGAAATTTTTTTTATTTTGGGGGTTCCGGGGGGGGACGGGGGAAAGGGTTAAAAAAACAAAAAAAAAATGGAAAAAAAAAAAAACATATTATTTTTTTTTTTTTTTAATAAAAAAAAATTTTTGATATTTTAATTTTTTTTTTTTTAAATTAATTTGGGGGAAGGAGAAGAGGGGGGGGGGGGGGGGGGAAAAAAAAAAAAAAAAAAAAAAAGAAAAAAGAAAAAAAAAAAGGACCCCCCAAAAATAATTTTTTTTGGGGGGGAAGGGGGCGAACACAGAAAAAAAATTATTTCCCCAACCCCCTTTTTTGGCAAGGATACCAAATTTTTTACCACAGAAAAACACAATTTTATATAAACACAAGAATTGAAAAAGATTTATTTAACTCATATTGGAAAAATCTCATCTAATGTAGTTAGCTTGGGAGACCCAACGACAGGAAACTAAAAACCAGACGCACTTTCTGTAATGTATATCTTAATCTTGTAGAAATCTAGTAACCTAGTACTTACTACTAGTTGGGTCTGCAAGACGAATTGATAATCTTCTCGAGAGACACATTAATCATAGCAAAGATTGTAATCGTTTTAAATAGAAGATGAGAAGAAGTATATCTTCTTTATTGAAAAAATCTTTGTTACTAAAACATGAGACCCTAAAAGGTTGGTGTAAATAAAAATGTATACCAACTACAATGAAATATATTATACAACATTACAATACAATTTAAAATGCTATCTAAAATTGTAAAATGTAGGAAAACCCACGAAGAAAAAAACTGTCACAGAAGCATCGTATTGTACATTAAAAGCATGTTTGCATGTTTGAACGCGCAATCCCCAGAAACAACTAATCTGTGGGTACGTTATCATCAACCAGTAAAGTTAAATAAAACGCTTTAACGGTCTAAAGTGCATTAATTCAAACAAGTTTGAACTGAATATATAGCGCGTTTTAAACCGTTAAAGTGTTTTATTTAAATGTGTACTACTTGCGTAAACTACAGACAGTATTTGACCAATAAATTTAACCAAAAACCTTTAAGGGTCTAGAACCTTTGGATTAGATTACCAGATCTCTACTCAAATAAAAAAAGTTTGTTTACAAAAAAATGCAAGCCTTATCTTCAATATTATATACATAATACAAAAAGGATAAAATGGTATCAATAATCCCTCAACATTTTTTCTTATTGCCCACTTTTGTGTTAGGTACCTACAAGGTTGTCTTTTATCATTGTCAGGAGTCGAAAATATTTTTGTGTGTTAAAACAAAAACAATCAATATATGGGGGTCATCTTACGTTACTGACGGGTTTGTAAATTATTTGTTTACCTATATATTGTGTTAGTGGTAGATTTATAATTATTTGTTTATTTTATTATAATTATACATACATATATACCATTATCTTTTTTTTTAATTTTTGAAATATCTATCCCCGTGGCTACGGCTGCTTCAAAGGATCTTATACGTCGGGCCGTAGTTTAAATAATTTTCAAATACGTTTAACTTATTTTTTTATGGAATTTTAAACCGTTAAAGTGTTTTATTTATATATCAATCCAATAAGATGACTTTGGAAAAATTAGAAATTATTTTTTACATTTTATTGCATATAAATTAAAAATCTATATAGATTGAAAAAAAAAATACGACACAGACGGGACTGGAACCGGCAATCACAGCGTTCCGTGCTCTAACAATTACTGAGCTACCGTGTCCTACACGTCATTGAAACCATTCTTGAATAAAACTACTTGAACAGAGTAGAAAACGACGAGATTTTATACAATATTCGTTGAGATATAACGGTGTTGAGAAAAATATGGAGATAAAAACTATAAATGAGAATTACGATAAAGACAGACGTCGATAGAATTCGAATACAACTAGACTACTATACCGCGAATATAGTTATAGTATAGCCTATAGTTTTTAAACCAGATTTCATGAGTTTAGTTATACAAGGCATGCACGCAACAATATGAGGTAACGTCTAAAGTTTCTTTTAAATTTAATATTCTTGTGAGCCTCTGATTATATAGTTGTTACAGAATTGTTGATGTCAGTACTTACACTTTGTCTCGTGTAGAATGATAAGTTTTAAATTTTTGCTTTCATACATATATGTTTTTTTATTTTTCAAAACACGGATGTACCTTCATCACAGAATATAACAAAATATTAAATACCAAAGCAAATTAATAATAATAAAAATTAATTAACAGACATATCATCTTATATTAGGCAGAGTATAAATATGCAGTACTGTCTGTAGCCTACGCCAGTAGTACATATTTAAATAAAACATAATTAACCGTTTAAAACGCTACATGTGTTTGTTTATATTTTTAACGACGACCAGTTTCGGTTTGACAGCAGTCGCGGGGGAATATTTTTCGAGTTCTAAACCGTTATAAGCGTTTAACAAATGTGTAGTAATCGGAGCTAATTGCAATTTAAACATATCCTACTAGCATTTGATTTATATCGGAAATATTGTAACTGGATATTTTCACCCAATCGCCGATTATATGATAGTTATTATCGGTCACTGTCACTGACATAAAATATTTGTAGGGTAGCTATAAATTGTGAAAACGCGGAATATGTTTTAAATGATCCGACGCAGTACTATTACTTCAATTTTTAATTTTATAATTGAATTGAACAGTCATAAATTTTCAAAATATTCAAATAAAACGCTTTAACGACTGGACACAGGGAGACACGTCTCCCCGTGACCACGGCTGCTGCAAAGCATCCGAAACGTCAAGCCGAAGTTAAAAATCATTTTCAAATAAGTTTAATTAATATATTGCGTTTTAAACCATTAAAGTGTTTTATTTAAATGTTACTGCTCGCGTAAACTATAGACAGTATTTAGTAATAAAATATATTTTTTGGTAAAATGTATCATACAAATCACCAAAGTATGGGTCTTTGAAGTGATCGTTAATTACCTAAGTTTAAATTCCGCTATTTATAATTTCTAATAGTTTTCTAATTTATATATAGTCTATATTATCTTTTAAGATTCATTAAAATCGACTAAACATACTTAGTACTTAGTTAGGTAGGAACCTAGGTAACTAGGTACTTAGTTTCGTTTAAAACGAGTAAAGTCGCGGAATCTATCATAGTCGATATAAATATTAATTCTGTATTGGTATTTTATATTCGTATTGTGTATTTGAACACTGTAGATACGTTTGCTTCCACATCCTATCTTCACAAAGTGATAGCCTTTCGACCTGATAAAACTGTTTTTACTTTAGGGACAAGAGAATGACGAAGAAATGGTTTTCAAGGATATATATATATATATAGACCGTTTGTAATTTTTTTTACGGTGGTTAGATTTTTAATATCGAAGTAATTTAATTATTATTATCTATGAGAATTTATTTAAGTGTATGTGTGTTGTGTGTTTTATATTTTTTTACTAAAATTGTGTAGAAAATTATAAGTACACATAATTCTCAAAGGCTTGCGTTAGGTATACGAATCCTAGAACGAAACTACTGGGAACGCTATTGTTTACCTTTAGCAACATTTTGGCTTGTAAATTTAATACAAGTTTTTTTGTTAACATTCGATTAAAATTATCGGTATTTTATCTTCTAAAGGACTATTAAACGCCTAACGTCGTTTTAAGTAAAGAGAAATTACATGTGATCTAGAACAATGTAAATAAAACCAATTAAACGTAACAAATACCTAATGCTATTAACCTACAAATGAAGTTATCGCTGAATTAAGATTACACACTGTATACACGCATAGACAATAATGCGTTACATAATTAAATTTAGTTTTTTTTTTAATATTAATTTCTATATATGTACATATATTTCGACACATACTTACATTTTTATTCCAAATATGTATACACTGATATTATTTTTAAAAGTATATAAGTAAAATTAATTTTCGTCTAAATAAAGCGTAAAGCTATATTCAATAAATTTTGCTTTGTTTTTGTAATAATGATCTATAGAGTTAAACAAAAACGGCGCGAGTTACGTCAAATTTAAATATCGAACGCATACGCGTTTATCACGCGAAGTTTCTTAGCGGACTGGCGTCTATCAGACTGGCCGGTTAGAATTTAATTTTTATTCACAGCATCTGTGGTGTACACTCAGGATTAGTTATTAACATTCTGGAAAGAAATGTATACTGGTTTCTTTTTCTCTATAGTCTATGCTTTTATACGCTAGTTTATATTTTAATTCTGTATTTTAATAAATGCTTTAGTTCTTAATTTTAGTATTTCTTTAAATGTACTTTCCTTATCAAACTTTTGAGTCGTGTATAGTTTCAGTTCCGGAAATAAAACATGTTATTAAAATATACTTTCGATGTAATATTTTTATACTCGAACACTACCTCTACCTTATGTCAATTTTCTATAATAGATAAAGACAGACAACCATGGGCCAGCCATAGAACATCTAAACAAGAAACGCTGTCGTCCTATTTCGGCTTTTGATATTCCGAAATCCACAGAGTAACCGAAACGCAATTAAACTTGACGGCTTTTTCATCTGTGGACGGCGTTTTATGACCTGGACGTAATTTCCAGGCGAACTCCAACATGTTTTAGAGAAATTATAAATTGATTAGAAATACGTTGGACCTGGTGGGGATCTAATCCACGACCATTGTTTATAAGCCATACATTACAACGACGAGCTCGTCATTTTTAAAATATTCTTCAAATGCTCGTGTCAAAACTGCTAAACTGGGTACAATGGCTTTACAATTACGTTAGGGTTGGTCGCATGGGCGCGCCTACAATCATAATATTATACATAATTTCAACCTTGGCCGTGCCCTCAATAGGCCCTGGTGTGCTGACAAAAGGAATTCTTCAAATAATATGAATTGTACATACCGCACAGGCCAATATATTTTTTTTATAGTTGACATTCTTAATAATAACGTGTTTTCCGAAATGAGACTAGGTATGTACCTCGGTAGCAATGTATCGCTCGTGGGTTTGATCGCCACATGGTCAAAAATTGTATAATTCTTCTGAAACACGTTGGACTCCGTTTGGAAATCTGGATATTAAATAGATGGTAGGAATATCCAAACTCCGTCCACAGATGAAGTCTTCTACAATAGGTACTAACGCGAAGCATACGTAGGATCATTGAAACTTGAATCAATCAAAACGGGCACATACATCAATAAAGTGTTAGGCACTCAAGTTGAGTAAGTAATCGAAAGTTACTTTTAAATTTTGGAAATAAAAACATTGAGTATTTTAATATATACTTAAAGAAATCGATTTCTGAATCTTTTTGTACAAACGGGAAATTACCTCCGCCATATATTACCAACTAAATGACTATTGATTATCGAAATTCAGAAACCAGTAAGTGTTTTGCAGTCAAAACAAATAAAAAAAGAACGGTACACACCGCTTTGAGAAGTCTAGCTACGAAAGGTATTTTCTCAAAGGTCAAAAGATGAAGCGGGTTATCGAACTCGCGAATAGATTTATTGTAGGATGATGATCTCGCAAAAGTATTTAATCTTGCACAGATACAAAACGAAAACTGGTTTAATTTAATTACCGTGTTTTACGGTTTCACGAAGCGGTGTTAATTGAGACAAGTTATCTGCGCTATGCCAACCTTTCTACGCGTTATTTTAAACACTAGTGAAATTCCATATCTTGTCGTTGCATTTTTATTAAATAGTTTTTTTTGTATGATAGAGCACTTGATGGTAGACGATATACCCCAGCCTATAGCGTCTAAACAAGATGCACTGTCGACTATTTTGGCTTTGGATATTCGGAAATCCACAGACTGAAGCCGAAATGCGATTAAGCTTCCCGGCATAAATTTGATATTTTTTAATCTGTGGATGTGATCCGGACGAAATTTCTATATTCCTACCATCCATTTAATATCCAAACAAAGTCCAAAAAATAGATAAATTGAAAAATTTAAAACAAATTGGACCCGGTGGGACTCGAACCCACGACCACGATTATTAGCCATACATTGCTACCATTAGATCAACGAGTTCGTATAAATACAGTATCTCTTTTTTATCAAAAGGAATTCTTATGTATTTCCGGGATTCAAAGCTAGGAAGCTTCGTGTAGTAGTAGCATGTAGTTACGAGCTTTTTGTGTATCTTTACAAATGTTATTTCATGTTAATTATTTTTCTATTTAAGCTAGGTCTTATTTACATTCCTTAATATTTTTATGTTTGCTTTTACATCGCTTAATGATTAATATAATAAAATTAAACGTTTAAGCATTTCTGTATATCTCCAAAGCAATTGTGACTTTTCAATACAGACAATTACAATTCGATTACAATATTTATAAATAAATTACAATTAATTTAATTGATTACAATATTCATAAAATAATTTAGAATTAAAATAAACATGTTACAGAGTTCAGTTTATCAGTTTGATTACATGGTAATTACGAATGTATACTAAGAGTTCTAAATGTACACGTACTTGAAATAAAAACGAATAACAACAAAGTTTTCTAAGAAATATCAAGAAATTAAATGAAAGTTTTTAGTGAGCAACTTTGGTGATTGCAAACAAAAATATTCTATCTAAATTTATTGATCTGATGTCATCTTCATTAAAAGTTTGTGGATCTTCATCTCAACATGTCGATGAACTTATGTTTTCAATGAAGGCTCGAGATAATGATCGATTGGACGAAAGTACTTGTGATAAAGCGATTACTTACTATTACAGTTAACTATGGGTCAAAACAAAAATAAAGTAAATGAACATTGTCTAGTTATATGTGTCGACTAATATTAAAATATTATACTGAAACTGAATACTGTCTATAGTTTACGCGAGTAGTACACATTTAAATAAAACACTTTAACGGTTTAAACCGCGATATATTAGTTAAACTTATTTGAAAATGATTTTTAACTTCGGCCCGACGTCTACGGATAAGTTTAACGTAATATATGGCGTTTTAAACCGTTTAAGTGTTTTATTTAAATAATGAAACTGGTAAATGAAACGATGACTTGTATGATTTCATAATTACTGTTTTTCGAGCCCTATGTGTAGCGACGACAAAAGTGGTCCGCAATCATGATAAAGTATTAGTAATCTGACAAGTCTTAAATATTTTATTGCGTATATCAGTATAACCAAACAATTTGTCTTTAAACATATAAGCATCGGTGGTTCAGTGGTAGAATGCTCGCCTGCCACGCGGGCGGCCCGGGTTCGATTCCCGGCCGATGCAATATCTTTTTTATTTTTCAGAAAGAGAAATGTTACATTTAATCATAACTATAAATATGTTTCAATTTTTTTTTAATTAGAAGTTTATTTGTGCAATGTGATATAAAAACAGTACAAATAAAAGTTTACTATAAAATATAGTACGTATAGTATTCGATGCTTTAAATTAAGTTTTTACCTACCTTACATATAGAACTTACCTTCCTTATCACCATAGAAATAAGTTATCTATTAAATAAAGTATATGAGGGCATACAGAATTATATAAATGTAAAAATATTTGTACATCTTTTTTCATATCATCTAATAATAACATTCAGTTTGTGGTTGGCAATAACTTTATTGACTATAAATTACTAGTAAGTTTGTAGTAAAGAATCTTATCTAATTCAACAAACGATTGCTTTTTTAACCGATAATTATAACTTATACCACTACTGAAGTAAGTCAGTAGGAATTTCATATATTCGATGTTGTATAATGATTTATTAGGCCGATCCCGGCGGCACTGCAATGCCGGGCCGACCCGCGACAGGAGTGGAGCGAGCCCCGAGCATCCCGTCAGCTTCCAAAAATCAGTTTAATATACTGGTCCCGCGATGCGGGAACTTTCAGATATTAAGCTGAAAAGAACAGATACTACACTTTGATCTTAGCCAAAAGGCCGAGAAGCGATAACTTGTAATTTATAAACGAAACTATTTATTTCATATGAAGAAGACTTCTCTTGCGCGATCTAGCAAATGTACAGAGCCAATTAGCGACATCTTGTAGTCATGTTGTAAGTTACATTTTTGATAGCGCCACCTAGCATACATTATTAGCAATAAGAGGATAACCTAAAATAACGTGTACTAGAATTTACGTAATTCACCGCTAGATGGCTGTTCAATTGATTTCTTAATTTTTAAAACTTAGTTAACAATAACTTATATTATTATTACAACTAAACATAACTCTATAAGGACTTAAGTTAACTTAATATTTTTTTAGTCGTATAAAAAAAAACGTAACATTCGGAGGCCTAAGAATAACGTTGTGAATTTCTAAACCACATACCATATATAATAAGCCATAATGGGGAAACTGAACTGAAATTTATTTATCTGTGTCAAAGCTTATTCTTCGTACTTAATCCACAAGGATTTAGTCACATCACGTAAAACACAGGAACCATGCATTTAGGGAGGTACCTATAGATGAATGTATAGAGAGGTCACGTTTTGAAATAAATCATTAGTATAACAGTTTGGTACTTAGTTATGTTAAAATAAATAGAATAGAATGATACCTAGAATAATACTTATTGAGTTTCTTGGTGCTTGAGTAAACAGATTTTATAAGTTACAAGCGACTACAGAAAGATTAAAACCTTTATTTATTCGTATTGAGATTATATTTAAAGCAATTTTGTATGTATTTTGTTTTATTTAAAAAGTAGAGGACAGTCAAGTATTAGATTTACACAATGGAGAATGAAATACTCCAATTATATAATGTCTTAAGAGGTTGCCCTGTCAACCTATTTTTAATGGATAGTCTGTAACCAACAAAGACAACAAAACGCTATTAAACTTTATAAATATATCATACGCGGACTTGGTTTGCAGCCCGGACGGAACTTCGATTTCTTACCGACCCTTTAAAATCTAGATGTTTCACATATCGCTATTTATGTGTTAAAAAAAAAATAAAGCGATTAAAAATATATTAGACGCGGTAGGGTTTGAAGCCACGGCCCTGAGCAAATGAATACCGTTAAACGAACAAGCCCATCAACATAATTATATATACTAATACAATGGGAATGCTTTGAAGCTGTATTATAAAAATAAGGAGGCACAGCGGATTCGCCTCAGTGAATTAAAATTTACATGAAAATCGAGTATTGTTTCACCAAATCCGATTGTGAGATTTGCGTTATCCGCGCCCACGCACGCCCTACATTCTAATTAATGCGGAAGGGATATTTTAACTGCATTACATATTATATTGCCTGAAAGATAGTGTTTCTGTGTGTTTCCGTGTTTCCGTTTTAACTCGTTAAAAGTGTTTTATATAAAAAACCTACTGACTAGCATAAACTTGTTTGAGTCTTCTTATCTGGGTTCATAATAAATGTGCATAGAGTTTAATAAAAGCAAGTATGAAAGCCCTCACTGTATAGAACAAGGAACGCTAAGAAAGAAAAATCCAGGAATGCAAAATCAAATAAAATTAATTACATAATTAATCACGGCGTTATCGCCGAAGGGATGGACAGGCATTGTCGGTGACTCATATTAAATGACACACGCATCTGCTATTTTGTAACTGCAAAAAATCGATACGCAATAACATCCGCCAATTGCTTTCAGAGTTGAGTGGGTGATGGTTCATTCATCAGCTCTTGATTCTCGTCACAGTAACGACTGGTTTATGACATAGAAGGACTAAGCCCACGAGCGAGTCCAGAAGCACGATCCCGCATGTGTCAGTTTGTATTGTACGTACGCACACAGCACAGCTAGAACAGTGTAACTTATACATAGTACTTATTTACAGTTCTATTTTTCATTTCCAATTGTCTAATATTTTCCATTTTTTGATACAGCCTACATAACATGGGGTTCCAATTTTCAGTCAGAGCAGTATATTTATTTATATATAGGCCTATAGCCTTCCCCGATAAAGATTTTTTCAATTAGAACCAGTGGTTCCTGAGTTTAGCACCTTAAAACAAACTCTTCAGCTTTATATTAGGATAATTATTCCAAAAATAACTATTCCACGCGGACAGAGTCATGCGTACAGCTAGTTGTTAAATAAAGCTGCAAGTCTTCTTGGGCAGCAGCTTACGCACCTAGCAATGATAAAGGCATCTTTATCTATATCCATTTTAATATATACGCGCGAAGCGGTAACTGATAATGACCCTAATGTTGACAAAAAATCAGTTGCAACATACCGTTCTTATCTCGGTTGTATAGCTTGACTTTAAGGTAATTTAGAGAACCCCAGTCGTGCTCCAACATTGTTCGTCCTATATTCTTGAAATAAAAAACACGCCATCTTTTGGTTGTGTCAAATTCTTGGTAGATTAGTATTAACACAAATGTCCGCAAACATCAGAATCTGCAAATTATCCGAAACATCAGGTCGTTGTTACATAAATTAAAACTAAGTTAACTAATATATTTCGCGTTTTATACCGTTTAAAATGTTTTGTTTCAATGTCTAGTCGCGTAAACTATAGACAGCACTCAAATTGTTTAATGTTAATTGTTATTAATACTCATACTGGGTTCAAAATGAATTTAACTTCCAATAATATATTTTTATTTAAGACTAAAACTTAAAAACAAATACAGCCAATAAAATACTGTCTATAGTTTACGCGAGTAGTACACATTTAAATAAAACACTTTAACGGTTTAAAACGCGATATATTAGTTAAACTTATTTAAAAATGATTTTTAACTTCGGCCCGACGTTTCGGATGCTTTGCAGCAGCCGTGGTCACGGGGAGACAAATAAGTTCAAATAAGTTTAACTAATATATCGCGTTTTAAACCGTTAAAGTGTTTTATTTAAAAATACAGCCAATAACTCAATTTAAATGTTTAAACACGTTTATTACTTTAAGAGAATTAGGTGTTTTGTAAATTCTTAAAAAAATAATAAGTTTTAATAATTTATTTTTAATAAAACACAAATACAGCTACTAACTTAATTTACTTGTTTAAGCACGGTTTCTACTTAAATTATTTAAATGTTTTAGAAACTCCAGTTCAATTCTGGATTTAGGTCTACTGATAATTTCTTATCAATTCATATTATATTACTGTCACACGAGGTCTACACAATCAGTGTTACTGTTGCACAGGTCATGAAAAATCTCAAATATACAAAAAGATTTTCGCCCAACGTGGGGCTCGAACCCACGACCCTGAGATTAAGAGTCTCATGCTCTACCGACTGAGCTAGCCGGGCATTGTGTAACTGGTCTAAATTAAACGCTTGCTTGTGAGTCCCGGCATATTTTCAGTTCTATTTTTAAAATTCTCCGTACCGTCGTTCGTTTCTCCACAGACTATAAATATGTATATCCCGGTATTATCTTCTGAACGACTTAGTTACGTGTTTTAATCAATGGTTTTAATAAATTAGTCCATACTTATTTATAATCTATACTACTATTATGAAACCGAAGTGCTTGTTTGTTTGAACACCATCTCGGGTTATACTGATTCGAATTTAAAAAAAATAAAACACTTAACGGTTTTAAACCTTTCCTGCTATGCTAGCGCCACAGCAGTCTTCCTGTAACCACGGCTGCTGCAACGGAAATGGTTTTGTTTGGACCATTTATCGAGGAAGGTGTCCCTAATGGCAAAGTGAGAACTGCTATGGCGCTAGCACAACAATAACGGTAACGGTTTTAAACCGTCAAAAGTGTTTTATTATTATATACCTACCTTTCTAATAGTTTAAAAAATAAGCGGTATAACACTAATGTAGTAACCACTAGATCAACTAAGAGGTTAGTTTTACTAACGAAAACTTTGAAATATTGTTATGAAAAACCGACATAACATTTTATAATACTAGTATAAATATTTATTACGACTACGCAAAGTCGTGTACTATCTATATTTAAGCTGTAACTTTGTGTGGTCCATCTAAGCTGGGTCGTATTTGTTGCTAGGTTTGAACTAACTGTCCTTCCGTGCCATTTCCTTCGCAGCTCGCGGACAGCATACTAAACAGTTAGCTGCTGGCGCCAGTTATACATAAAACATTGTTTTGCTGCAGCTTGAATGAATTTGGGTTCAAGGATATTCATTCATTCACAGTACGTGTATTGTTACATACAATAGTTTAGGTTGAGAGATTGAAAAGAAGAAAAATAAACCCTGTTATAACGAAAAACCTTAATCGATAATAATTTGGTTTGATTTTCCTCCGTGTCAATTACTCTTTTTTATTTATACGTGAAGTATTAGCGTTAAGAAGCGGTTTCTTCCAGGCAACTCAAAATATAAAAAAAATGAGATGCGCAAAGTGGGCGAAATTTGCTAAATTAATGTAAGCGCTTACTTGTTTCAGACAGGGCACAAAATTCTTTCCAACACAATTCCGAAACGGACATAGAAATGTGTTTGGACTTTTCCCCTTTTGAGTGTAACGGGATATTACGGTCTTTTTTTAGCATTATTTTGATAACCTTCTTGAAGATAAATCGAACGTGATGTAATGGCCCAGCAGCGGCCGGCAATAGTATCTGAAAATCTATATCTGTCGTGTTTAGCGGCTAAATGAATTACTACTTATGTAGAATTAAAATTGTGGTGTAATTTAAAATGGAACGATCTTCTACTCCGCAACATGGCGACCAAAGAGGTAACTCTCAGAGGTTTATTTTTTTAATTTCTAACGGCTAGCTAATTAAAAGCTGTTAAGTTAAAAATTAAAATACTTTGCAGGTAAAAAAATATTAAAATTAGTAATTTTCATATTTTTTTACCTGCAGTAATGTACTATAACTGGATAAAAAAAAATTAACAATAAGCACAGA